ATTTAAGGATTTAACGTAGTTAACTAAACTGCACTGATATGAATTATGCATTATTTAAATGCAGAACGTCCACATTACCGGTCTGTACCCTCCCGCTGCACAAACAGCAATTTTTTCCTGATGCAGACACTCTCGCAACACCACTTAGAAATCAGAGCACGTTGTATGAAATCTCTCACACTATGTAAAGCTGGATTACGAAATGATCCTTCGCTATTTTAACTGTGTTCTGCAGGACTCTTAACCATATTTATTTGTAGATCTGACACAATTTTAAATTCGTAACTCATTTCATTCTTAACCCCCCACCTGCCTGGAATCTAACCAGGTGAACTTTACATAAACTCTGACTGAACGCTGTGTGTGTCGGACCAAAGACTTTCCTTGACGCGCTTCTGGGAATCTTAGAAAAATAATTTTGCATCTTAACACTTCTAAGAAAATAAAAACCCCTCCCGTTACAACTTTATTGCACAGGAACAGAGGAGAGAAAAAAACCCACTAACCTGCATACACGAGCATGGTGGTGAGCAGAGCAATCAAATGGGCTTTGTATATGTGATTAAACTCTTTCAGTAGCAGAATGGCCTCCTGGAAAACGACAGAAAAGAGCAGTTCTAGGCAGAACGCCTGCACCACTGTAGTCTGCATGGGGTTGCTGCAGCCGCGTGAGTGCGCTCCGAGATGTGGCTCTGCCATCTCCAGGCTCCAGATGAAGTGCATGAACACTCTGGCAAGCACTGCCGCCACGAACTGAGCCACGATCTTGAGTCCATCCATCTTGACCGATACCGCCCTGCCCAACATCGACTGCAAAGTGCCACAGGGATTGCATGCGGTGCCAGTCAGAGTTATGCCGTGCAGGACAGTCAGAGCATAGGTGAAAGCCAGGGCGGTGCGTGGCTGCAGCTCCACGCTGCTCAGCAGGCACAGCTCACTAGTGCAGGTGCAAATCTGGAAGGTGCTAAACATCTCCAAAAGGAAAGCGTGAAGGCGCTGGCGGGAGCGCAGCCGCCAGCGGGTTAATCTCCTGCACAGCTGCACCGTTACCACGATGTCGGCCACCAGCAGGAGCGAGGTCCTTATCCCAGCCATGGCAAAGGCTTCGCAGGCCGAAGGACTCGTAGGAGGAGTTCACCCTGGTCCAACCCCACCACCTACGGGGAAAAAGAAAGCGGGACAGGGAGTGAAAATGACCACCCTTTCCCTTCGAGGTAGGAGCCTGCTTCTGTCCCCGCCTGCTTGCAGCCTGCGAGATGGCCGGCTCGCCCGGGGAGCAAAGGGCAGGGGAGCGCAGCCTGACAGGGGTGAACGCAAGGGGAACCCTCTCCCCCGCCAGGGAAGGGGTTAGGAGAAGGAAGAGCTGTCCTTGCGGTGGTTTTTTGGGGCGGGGGTGCGCGGGGAAGAAAGGGGCTCTGCCTCCCCTCAGCCCCTCCGCCGTGGAGCGGACGGAGCTCCCCTCAGCCCGCGGGGGGCGGGGCAGGTTGGGCCCCTGGCAGCGGGGGGGGAAGAGGAGGCGAACCAAAGTCTCGGTCGGGTTGGGAGCGCGACCTCTCCGCA